TGTATGCTGGTGATGTATGTGATCGATGCATTATAATAATTGTATACAGTCAACAAATCTTATTACATCTAATTTGTCTTTTCACGCAGCGTATGGGAAGACAGAGCTTAGAGACCCTTCCGGCTCAGATATACATTAACGGGGAATGGAAAAAAATGGGCGATAGCAGATAAAAGGAGGGCTAGAGAAAGGAATTAGGGAAGGAGATAAGAAGTAAAGAGTGTGCATCAATAATTGGCGTATCTCTAATTTTAGACGGGACATCGAAAGATACGAAGGGACAGTATTCGGATGGAGAAAAGGACGGGATCGGGGAACACTTAGAAACATTGATATGGCGAATGGTAGTGCTCGGGGTGTCTAGAACCTGATATGTAGGAGCAGGTATATGTCACCGGTAATACTTGGGCTTATTAGGAATCGCTAGAAAGGCTACACTGCGCTTTGGCTTGTTTTGTACGACTTCTTTTTCACATCCGTAAATTCCGCTCGACGAAAATTCGTAACTAATAAATTTAATTCAATTCAGATAAATATAGGACTATCACATCAAGAGCGATTTTATATGATATTTATTATTAAGTAAATTGTTTCCCCATAGGTTCATTTAATTAGAAAATACGATTTTCAAAATCCGTCATCTTATAGTCATTAAAAATCGGAGAAGATAAACTTTCAGCTGACAATTAGACTGGGATAATTTTTTTTTCGTTTTATTTTTAACTTATTTTTTCTTTTTTCTTCTTTTTTTTACAAATTTGTCGAACACGCATCTTGTTGATTATCATATATAATATACAATTATTTAGAATATCGTCATATATAAAGTAGAGATAATATTCTTCTGTGTGTGCTCTGATTATTTTTGCTTAATCAACAAGATCACGTATATTAAAACAATCGAAAAGAACTTGACGAATAAAATGAATGAATCTGATAACGCAAGATGACAACGAAACATTTGGCGTACAAAAAAAAACAAAGCGCACCGGTAGTAATACCTTTTCGCAATACCATTAATTAATAACAATATTAACGATATGTACCTACACTATATATTAACTATCTAAGTATCTAACTAACGAGCATTAACCTAACGCCTTAAACGCAACGTTCATTTAATATACTTATTCGGCCCCGACTTTCGCAAAACCCGCGCAAACGGGAGAGGGGGCGATATAAATAATCATAACACTAATAATAAAGATAATGATAATTACATTATTAATTAATCAATTAAATTTCTCATGAGAGATTGCAAATATATACATATAGATGGGATATGTATTAGTAAGATCTAGCAGAGAGTATACCAGTTATCTAGTAGCTTTCTCTCAACGTTACAATTAATTATCGACACAGATGGCTCGTCTTTACAACCTCGAGTTTAGTGTATATGTATAGGTGTATGCATGAGTGTGTAATAACATGTAATCGTGCTTACATACACAGTGCTATGTATACCTCTCTACCTGGAATACTGTATCGTTTACGAGGATCTCTACAGACTACCAAATTACAATTTGATTTTGTACACGTTTAGAACCTGTTCACCAGAAGATATCCGCGAATGTCTCGGACTATCGTATTACACGGTGTATTTATTCTGCGATTGACGATTAACATATTACACATTAATCTCATCCGCGTCGCGATATTTAATTAGATCCACTATAAGCGTTACACTTAGCGCGAAAGAGAGTTACGCGAACTTACTTTAGGGGTCCTCTTCGTAATAAAAAAAAATTCAAGAAAAAAGTAAGCTATGTACATTCATTCGTCCATTGTAAAGAGACGCTCCATTAATCTTATATCGTAAACGTATTTATATCTACGTGCCTCTTTAATCTTTAATTACACCGGCAGACTCCTGAGGATATGGTTAAATTACTGCTCCCTTGAGGTTTGGTAGTTTTCTTTTAGTTTCCTTTTTGCATTTCGATGTACTTAAAATCACGAAAAAATGTAATATCTAACGACGAATGTACCTGTAGCGATCAGATTTTATTTTTCCTCTATATAAATACCGTGAATAAATTTAATCCTTTTTTTAAAGAAGCATTTATTTCTATTGTCATTCATTTTCCGTGTCAATTTGCAAAGATTAAATTTTTTAACGGTAGTTACATAAGAAAATAAATCTATCTAATAATGCGATGTGTAAACACAAAATTATCGTTTCAAATACGAAATTTTGTTTATAGCTATATTCGTCGTCACGTCGTTCAATTTTCCAAATAATATCGTGCTTTTTAATACAACGCGATATATGTATATAGAAATCCTCAGAATTCTGCAGCGTCAGTTTAACACCGACGAGGGTGCTCCGGTCGAGGATTGATATGCAAGCCGTGAGCTTCGTCCCTTTTTGCGCGAGGCTTATCTTCTGATGCACAGTACTCGAAATGATATACTCGTTTACTTATGCGTGTCTTTAAATTTAACCCTTCCACCCGGTCGATCATTCTAGGCATAAATATCGTCAGATCAAGCAGCTATCATCGTCCTTAGGAAATTTTTTTTTATCCTTCGCGAACTACGAACTAGTTTAATCTCTTTACGTCGCGTTTACGCATCTTTTTTTTTATCTTATTTTCAACTCTGCATCTCTAATAATCTACGGTCCTCGTTTAAGTCCTATCGTGGACCCTCAGCCTTTGTCTAGCGCCAAGTCTAGAACTCGGCCTGTATATTTTTTATTTTTCTAATTACACTTAGCGCAAATGGAAAAGGGTTAAATGTAAAGGTCGATCGTCGAAGGGACGTCTTGAAAACTACATCCCATTTGCTACGTTTCGACCTGGACATGTGTATCCGGGCCGGATCGAAGATGCAGCGAAGGGGATGAGTTTAAACGAGTGTTCGTTGTAATACGTTCTACATACGTCTTACTTTACCGAAGTTTAGCGAGCGGGTAAAGTGTCAGAAAATAAGCGACAGTCTGGTATGCATGCTCGATGCGCGCCCTTTTACGACGTGTCGTTAAACTCACGCCGGAGCGGAATTTTCATCAGGAGAGTATCGTTTTGTCGAGATGTATCCCCTAGGAAACGGTATTATAATTCTTTGAAAATGAAGGTGCGCGCGTTTTCCTCTTTTTTATATTTTTTCATCAATTTCATCGCATATATTTTTTAAAGAAATAAAAACGCAAGAGACAGTAAACAAAAGTAAATTTTTATTAATAAAAGATGGAAAATTTTAATGTCGAGTGAAAATAAAAAGAGAAAGCGTGATTTTTATTAGAGATACCAATAAAAAAATTCAAAGATCGATAATCCATTTTATAAATATAGATAAATTATTATTAATTTTTATAATGATTTAAATATTTATATTTTATTATAAATAAAAAGTTCGAAATAAAAATATATACGTGTATACATTTTTTTAAAATCAATAAAATTGTTATCGAATGAAATCAGCAAGTTCATCCTCAAAGAATTTCATGTGATTGAGTAATATTTTATTCCAAAAATTTATCTTTGAATAAATATGTATATCAAATACATGCAAAGAAAGACACATTTGTCATGCAACGATACACTCTTGATTTAAATACCGTATTCCGCATCACACACTTGAATATATAAATATATATATTATATAAATAATATATACATTTATATATATATATATATATATATATATATAAAAATGTATATAAATATATATAAATATATATATATATATATATATTTATCTACAAAACTGTATGATATGGTTACACATCCTAAATTGCTTAGTGACTACTTACGTTTTTTAGGTCCTGTTCACTAAATCAAAAATTTGAATGATAAAGTTTTCAAATAGATAAAAGAGTGATGTATATATATTCTATTGTATATACACTCTCTAAACTTTTTTCATATATAATTACAATATAATAAGATTACTAATAATATATTTTACTAGTACATTAAGAAAAACTAAAAAATTATTTAATAAAATAATAAAAAGATAGTATAATATAATTACTAATAAGATATCTTAATAGTATGTGATGTAAAAACAATTTTACACTTCTGTCGTAAAAGGAAAATGAGGGGGACAAGAATAAAATAATCTATATTGTTGGAACAAAATCGCAACTATAGTCCAAATATAATAACGAAAGCGATGTGTGTATCGCTTGGCTTAGTACCTCTTTATTTTTCCGCTTTCACGCGTTTCTCTCGACGTCGATACGTCGTCCCTTACGATCGACAACAGTTTCAGCGAGACCGTTTCATCATCGGCGATCGCCGCGAGGGTCGTCCTCGCCTGCGTTTGCCAACTGAAAAACCCCCCCTTTTAAAACAGTACACAACTTATCCTCTAATCGTATTGTAACAAATATTGCCTCGAATATATAAACTTTGTGTGTTTTCCTTATTTAAATTATTTCTCATTTACATTTAGGTCTCTCGTTCTCTCCCTCTCTTCTCTCTCTCTCTCTCTCTCTCTCTCTCTCTCTCTCTCTCTCTCACGGATAATGGACAAAACGGCGGGTTTTCTTTTATATATTCACCCATCTCTCTCAAGGGCGCGTATTTCGGCCCTTATTATCTTACGTTACGTATGGCCGAGTCTCAAAGAATCTATTATTTATTTAGTTTAGTAGTAGAGTCGTTTGGTTCGCATCGCGCAAAATTTGTTCGGAGATCTAAAACCATTCTTATAAAAACGCCCCTCGGCCCGACAAAATATTACCGAGGAACACTAATATATTGTGTGTCGTCGACTTCATTGTTCTTATGTGTTTTTTTTGTTTCGATATATATATAAAATTCTCAATTTTCGCGCAGTTCGCGATCTGATCAAAAGCGTACGAATGCCAATGTGACGCTCGCCGAGCGCATATTTATGCACGCGAGCGTACGGACACTGGTACGTGTCGTCTCGTCGCAACCTGAACACTACAGCTTTGGGGGAGAGAGGATAGAGGAAATTCCTTCGTTTGTTTATTCGATCGGAGAACCGGTAAAGGTGTAAATATGGGGACAGTGAAAACAATTTAATTTCTCTTAATTGATAACAGTCTAAATGACTTTATTGTTAACGCTTAGGACCCGCGAGAAGCCTCGTGCAACGAAAATCATCGAGACGTAATTAAAAATGTTTCACATCAACACAAAAATGTTTGATGTGAAAAATAATTATATACACAATCGTGGAATTAACTCTCATCCGGAAATCAAAATAATTGCATGCTCGTACGTAAAGTTTGTGGAAAATGGTCTACTATTCTCTTATTAAAGAAAAATTTGCAAATGTCTGTATTCCATAATATTACAATCTAAATAATTTTAAAACAATATAATATGGTAAACTGTTTATGTAAAAATGGCATAAGAATCTTTGTTTATATTTATTTACAAATTCAATTATGGCCCCGATTTTCGCATTTTTAACAATAAGTTTAAAAGTCGTAGAAAAAAATTGCATGCCTGTCAAAAGTCTTTGAATTACGTCGTTGTCTGCGGCAAATCCTTTATGTAATAATTTTACACTGTTTCTGTCAGAATTTATGAAACGAGTAATCCATAGGAAATCGTTATTTATAATTAGAAAACAAAATTATCCGGATGAGTGTTAAAAAATTTGAATATAAACTCCAAACGATGAAAAAAATTGCGCGATGCTTGCTGCGGGCCGAGCATATTACGACGATAGAGTAGCGCGTATCAATGACATTCAAAGCAGATGCTGCACTCTGCAGCAGGTCGCTCAGTTCTTTTCTGAACACTCTCTTAAATTGTATCCCGTGGTTAATAAGTGATCGTCAAGAAATCTCCGATTCATTTTATTGGATCCCACAAAATATGGTCATCGAGGAGCATCGTAGCTCAGTTTCAGAATTAATGTCGTGCATCGCTCGCACGCGAGTGCACGCGGATTTTAAGATAAGTTGACCGTAAATAATACGAGCGAACGAGCGAGCGAGAGAGTGTCTCGTCGCGGTTGTGAGACATCATATATACGTCCAGGCTTCGCGGAAGCAGCGCCCACCTGTCCGCTTCGCGAGCAACCACGAGGAATTTCGCACTTTTTCGCACTCCGGATTCAGATTTTCGAACCCGCAATCTTCCAAGAAGAGCCTCTCCGACGGTCTTCGATCTTCCAGCTGCCCCTCTTCTGAGAGATTCGACCTTCCTCGGACGATTCCTCTTCCGAAGAAGTTAGACCGTCTTCGAGCCATTCTGCTACCACTAAAAAGAATTTTGCCCCCCTGTTCGATCTATCCATTTCCCGATAGTTTTCCGTCTTCTCCCAGTCGTTCTCAGAAAGTGCTATCTCCTTTCAATCATTTCTTTTCTGATAGATCATGCTTTTACGTGCCTTCTGAAGAAGGATCAAATTTCCTCTCTGCTTCTCCTCTTCTCATGGAAATAGACTTTCCGCGAACTGTTCCTTTCTAAAACAGCTTCTTCAAGCCATTCCATCTTCTTCGATCTATCTCTTAGTTAACGTAGTGTTATTCTCTTCCACTTTCCAAGAGACTTTTTCACGCTCCTCCTTTTCTCTTCGATTCTATCTTCTTTAAATCGTCCATCTTACAAAATAGTTTGCTCGAAATATTCTAATTTCTCATCAGCTGACATCAATTCCTTGAAAATGAAACTTTAATGAGTATCGTGCGCGCGTGACTCCTCGCGAAACGTACCGGTTTACTTCCAAGCCCTTGATATGTGTATGCACGCCGGAGACCACCCGATCTCCAAGCTATATACAGAGTCTCCGGGAACGAAGCACGATGTCGTTGCGACTTCAAACACCAGTACCGCCACCGAGGATGCCGAAGAATACCGTGTCTGATCCGCGTCGATGAATTGTTTCTGGTGAACCCACGGCACTGTCCCAGAGATGCGGAGTTTACACACTTATACATCATCGGCGACTTTCCCAACCGCGACGGCGAAGATCCCCTATTCGTAGGGTAGTTCAGTAGTAAGTTTCACGAGAGAATAGACCAGTTTTTTTTTTCTCTATCGATATGTCGCGTTCGATTGAAAAAACGATAGATGCATGATTTCTCCCTTCGCCGCGAAAATCGATTATTCTCCCCGGTGGAAAGGAAAGTTGTCCGTTCTCGCTGGCTCACCCGTTTAGATAGAAGGGCCCGTCGCATCAGTAGGGCCAGAAAGTGGGCAACGGTGGCGGAGGTGGTGGCGGTACGGTCGGATAGAGAGTCGGGGTGGCTATTAGGAGACAGGTGGGCGGCGGCAAAGGTGGCGGTACGGGCGGTGGCGGCGGTAGGACCGGGGACAACGTTATCGTTGCGGCTGCGGGGTGCAGGGCCGTGCCCGCCGTCGCGGGGGCACACAACGGGTGCAGGGCGGCGAGTGTGGGGCGCTGGCGCTGACGCTGACGCTGCTGGCCCTGGACCTCGCCGTTCTATTCCGAGTCCTGCTGCATTTTGACGTGGCCATTACCGGCGGAATTGCTCGACGCGCTGCCGCTGCTGGGCGGGAAGCTCGTGGGGATGGTGCGCGACGACGAGAAGCAGAGCTTCATGATGTAGGGGAACTTGCCGTCTGAAACAGACGAGCGCGACAAAGGGACCGGGGTTGTAATAATATTTCCTTGTCAAACGGAACGAAGGAGCAAGAAGGCTCGATCGATTAGGTTCACTTGTTGAGCGACTGACTTTTGTGTCTCTCCTTGGATTTCACAACCCCCTAATAGCACATCATGTCCAAGAGACATTCGAAGGATATCCAGAGGACGTTCGAGGACAGCCTCAGGATATTCTCTGAACGTCTTCGGGACGTTCTATGTGTGCTGTTAAGGAATTTTTTATCATATTTTGCAGAATTCTAGAGAAAAAATTGGGAGGGAGAGAGCTCTGTATATATTTGATTTTGTATTATGTTTCTATAAATTAATACTAAAATTAAAATAAATGTATTTAGACGTCAAGTGTGTAATAGCAAGAAAGATATTCTATAACATTTTTCTTGCACAACAATTTGTTGGATCCTCTGTTCGAGATATATATCGAAAGAAATGCCTTTATCTTTCTGATAACAGAATAAGCATAAATCTGGATAAGAGAAGATCTAAATGCAAAATCGGACGAAAAAGCAAATAAAGTCATCGTCGGTCATTCTCGCGAAATATCATAATCTCGTAAAATCCTCGCGACCGCTATCTCGTGAAGAAATTGTACGAGAGAAATCCAAGTTTTACGATCGTAGACATGATATCGAATACTTACTGCTGTTCTCCAGTGCTGTGTGATTGCACTCCATAATGGCAGCCACCGCGATACCGACGCTGCTGAATTCGATCAGACCGGACGACGATCGTTCAGATTTGAGAGGGAACAGTTTGATCGTCGTCGGGGCCTCGATGCCGCGTTCTATGAAAACGCGATTTACTGTTTCCTCCGTTAGATCAGGCGGGGTGTTGAAGAAATGGACTATTTTCGATGGTGGCTGTATCCTATTCTTATTAGCCATTGCGGGGTTCAGGAATCTGCAACAATATCGAAAAATCGAAAATTGTAGAAAAATTGCACAAAATTCGATTTTTAGAAACTATATATATATATATATATAGTTTCTATAGTTGCATGTTATTTGTCAATACGTTATTGGCAAATCGAATTGAAATGTTACGAAATTGATCTAGCTTTTACGGTTTTCAGAATATTCTTCTATAAAATATTCCACGTTTTTTGTTAACAATAATTAAATAGAACATATACATATATAGAAACTATCAATCATAATATGTCAATCGTAGAATTCATTTATCAAATTTTTTTAAGGAAGAGAATGAAAAATGCATTTAATATTTTCGTTCAACTTTTGCGATATCGTTATAGATATCTATCATCATTCTATCGAAGTTGCTCTGGCTGGTGAATTTTTAACTGAACAAGATATATCGATAGTATATTGGTGAAGATGCATCTCTAGATTCGAAAACTAAAAAAGCGGACATTTTCATTATCTCAAAACACAAAGAGGCGATATTGGAAAAAAATGTTAGAGTATATATTTTTATTTTTATTTCACTTCATAAAGTTTTATCGGGAAATATATACTTCTCGATGTAAAAGTGGTTCTCTTTTACTTGTGCGATATCGGTATCTCATTCTCATTAGAAATGTCAGCTTAGAGCCTAGTTCCTCAATTACGCGAATGAAAGCGGATTTCCGCATGAAGAAGGTACGTCGGGATGCTTCTGGTGCACAGTTTGTCTTTCACAAGCTTTAGGGAACTTCTTGTGATTAACTTCTCGCAATCAGAACTCGTGCTCGCGCCCAAGACCGAGCCGTTCCCTGCGGGCGATTAGGTTTTTCGTCGAAGCAAAATACGCATTTCGACGAGAGAGATAGCACTTTTTATTCCCCTGTCAAAAACACGCCCATTACGTAACGGTGTATTTCTTCTCTTAAATTATTCAATTTCAATGAATTACTTTCGTAAAACTAATTGAGTAAAATTTAAATTACCTTTCTCAGAATCATGTTAAACAAATCAAGTGTCGAGATAAAAAAAACGATAAAACGCGAGAGAAAAATTTTAAAAAGAGAGAAAGTTTAAAAAACTTAAAAAATTCTATAATTTAAAAGATGTCTTACATACTATCTTCATTGCAATATGAATCATAATTATATATTTTAAAAATGTGAATTAAATAAGCAAGACGCATTTTCATATAAAACTATTTTTATTAATTGATTCAATTTGGATGTAATTTCGACTTGAACTTCTATATTATTCTCGACACGTCATGTATAAAAGTTCAAATTCCCTCTTTTGCTACAATAGCACGATCTTCATGTGCGATAAAAATTTCATTCGAGATTTGTACGAGGAACGACTATCTCTCCGCTATTGTCTGCTCCCTGGCGTAGTTGAAAGAGCTAGAACTTAATCGCCGAGCCGGATCATCAGGCACGCCCTTTTGAGTAACTAAGGGACGAGCGAGCGGAGAGGTACACTAGTCCAGACGCGAAATTGCAGCGGTGTCGTTAGTTCCTATTCAACCTTTAGATTTGATTCTTCCGCTCGAGCGCGTTCGCTTCCCGAGTGTGACCGGTCGCGACTCGAGCCGAGTGGGAAACGGGAGATTTTCAGAGTTACGAAGCGGAGAAATTTAAATCGCGCTCGTTTACGCGTTTTCATTTAATTAGACTCCCGAGTTTAATCTCGTGAAGTGCCGTCGCAATCTGCCGGATCGCGCCGAACACGCCCCGCGTTATGTTACTTCCTCTTAAGATTCGCACGAAAGATGATGATGGGTCGATCGAGTAATCGAGATAGCGCTCGAGGTATCGAGATCCGTACTTTTTTTCAAGATCGACGACATCGGTCTAATTAAAGTTAGATACATATTCATTTATTAAAAGTCTATCGATATATCTCATCGAAATTTAATCTTGTAGGAAAAAGCGAGAAAGATGTACCGATACATGCACAAAAGAATATTTCTCTAATTGTAAGTTTAAAATAAATTCGCTAAATATGATTACAACATTTATTTACAGGTTCTTTTTTATTTGAAAACTTTACAAACCTTCAACATAAAACTGTAATTGATTGTTTCACGAGCTTTTTTCTCCTTTCTGTTACGCGCGAGATAAAACGTGCGATTAAATGGCGAGGAAAGAACAGCCGTCGTGAAAACTTGGAGAGATGTACTTACGATAAGAGTGTATATAAGTATTATATATGTATATACCCATCCTGTAATATACAATATATATATCCTCTTGCCTCATATATAGGGCGAGAGAATATCGCGACGGAAAATGAAAGAAAGATCAAGCGGAGACAAATGGTCTTCACGAGGGAAAGAACAAACTGCGCGAAAAATGACAGGAAAATAAAATGCGAAGACTCGTCCGCACCAAGACTCACCTGTTATTCTTGCTTCCCGTGAAGTCCTTGAAGCTCGCTGTCTTGTCGGGTAGGATATAAGGGTTGGTGACGTCCGAAAGGAAGGCCTGTTTCGAAAAGCCGAGCTGCAACCTGCCGTCCGTCCCGATTGTGACGTTATTCAGGTTTTGCAAACATCGTTCCACGGCTATGCTGTCCCCCATCTGTATCATCGCGCATCCTTCCTTCGTTTTCAAGAATTTAACCTGCGATCAGAGGGAGATTTCGAGTTTATCGTTATCGGCGTGTACGAAAAGCTCGCGAAACGTGCGAACCAGTAGTTTCTCTTCCTGAAATAACTCGCGATCGATCGTACGTCGTCGCGGTTTACGTCAAGAATCAACTGTGTGTGAAGAGTACCTGCCTGTACGAAATTACACGAGTCGAAATTTTTCTTCCATTTTCAATTTCAATCTCCGACATCTCTATTTAAGCAGTCGGATCACTCTAGTTTAAAATCACTCAATCTATAATTTTGCAGCCGAAAGTTTTTTTTTTTTTTAAACCTCTGGATTCAATGGGATTTATATTCAATTCTTACACGGAGAGAATTTTCTCTCAGAATTTATTCTGAAAATCATGGCAATCGTCGAACAATATGGTATTGGAAAAATTTTTTAAGAGTTTCTTTGTGATTAATATTTACCATAATAAAAAATATTAATATCTACCACAATAAGATATGAAAAATATGTTGAATAAATTTTACTATGGTGGTAGATATTAATACTTTTTATTGTGGTAAATTTTGTCCCACGATTACCATGATTTTCCAGAGTAAATTCTAAGAAAAAACTCTGTCCAAACTTTATAGAATTTATAAATGTGAAAAAATAAGAGACCTTCAAAATAGAAGGAAAATTTCGACTCTGAATATTTCCTCCCTATTTCAAATTGTTTTCAATTAGTTCGGTATTTGCTGAAGCATTCGCTATTAATGAATGAATAATTTATTACTCCGCGGAATAATATAGCGTTGCGGAATTTAGCCCTTATTAAATATAGATTAACACGTGAAAACCCGTTCCCGTCCTTGTTAAGTACAGAGGGCGCAAAATACATGAAAACCGATTAGTCCTTGTTAAACGCAAGTACATACGTTACGGATGTCGACCACTACGAGAACCCTCCTCCTCGAGAAGGGATGACTAAGTCTCGTGCAAGCTCCTCTATGTATGTATGAACACGCACGCGCGCGGTTACATTTAACAAACACCTGCGACGTACAAAGAGGGTCACCACTACCACCAACCTACCTTCGTTACGTTGCCGTACAAGCAGAACAGGTTGAAGAGCTTGTCGGTATTGACTTTGTCCGGTTGCAGGCCGTACACCATCATGACCGAGCCCTGCGTGCTCGAAGGTGGCGTCTGGCCCAGGGTGGGCACGTAACCCGGTCGAGGTGGTGTAGGGTGTAATGGCTCGCGGCCGCTGAAATCGCTCTTGATTCCGTAACGCTCGACGTACGGCTCCGCGTACGTCGCCGGCCCGTTGAAGTTCTCCTCGTAACGATCGTGGCCGGCGCCAGGCGGAAAAGTGACCTGTGGCGTGGAGCCTGGAACCACAGAGACGCACACACCACTGTATAATACGGACACGTGTGAGACAAATGATGCGCCCGGGACACGCTAGATAACTGAACATTGTTGTTGTTGTCCATATACCCCGGGAGCCTGTCGACCGTGCTTTCTTGATGGATATGCATTGCGAAATCGGGGCAGTCGCGAAGGAGAGGATTTAGCACAGGTCGCAGGATAAATCGTCATAATGCAGATTTTCCGACTCGATGTTGGATAGATTCTTTTTAAGAAAGAAGGGTTTTTATATTCAAACTAAATAAATGTAATCGCAGAAGAAATGATAAAAATGGCAAATAAGAACTGGCGCAGTAAGTAGGGCGCATAAACTTTATTATTGAATCGCACAAGATGTTTCAAATCAAATATTCAAATAATATGGGTGTTTTTCTCGGTCTTCCTTTGCATGGATCAATTTTCAGCGCAATTTTAATAGGAAATGTCTCGATAATAAATTAGAAAAATTGGTTAGTTAAAAATGAACGCTGATTTATGTCATTTAGTTTATAAATAATCAATTTATTACTAATTATAATATACCTTTTATATATAAAAGCAATTAAGTGCACATTTCGTGTGAGAATCTATATATCCTAGAGAAATTAATATTCACAAAAGCATAACATTTTTCTGCGTTTTACAGAAAGACAGAATGAATAAAATAGAAAAATAGAAAAATAGAATAAATAAGAAAAAGACAGCGCGTTAAAGCGAACAGTTCAACCTTTAAACTGAAATAATACAAGCAGCCCCGAGACTATATTGGAATGGTAATGCAATACTGTGTCGGCTACATGCAGTCGAGTATTAAATGTTGCGACAAATGGTATCGATTAAAATGTCGGGGGTTATTGGGAAAAGTGAGTCGCGACGGTGAATTACGATAATGTTTTCAACTATAGAATTACATCGCGCGCAACGAGACTGGAGTGGTTTCGATTGCAGCCCGCGTTACGTTACATTCGACTCAATGATTTCCTGTCCGAAATCGCAATAGGGTGGCGGTCGCAGTTGACTTATGACAATAGTTTGTAGACCCGAACTATATACCAGAAATATTTTCCGCGAGATCAATATTAGAATAGAACCGTTCAATAGCTTAGACGTGGCGCATACAGGAAACTCACAAGTTCAAATGCACATCGATGCAACAGTCACGTGCCTCTTACACGACAATTCCATTTGATTTTGCATTATTAATCAACATCTTTGCAATATCTGAGTTTCCTCGTGACATTACAAGACGATGAGTTCTAAAAGCTTCTAGTTCACTATCTATATTTACAACTAATAAAAATAGTAAAGGACTAAAAACAATTTTTATAAAAAAAAGAGTTTTAGTGTTGATCTTTTAAATTTAATTTTTTTCTAAAGAAATTATAAGGATTTAATTTTCTAATTTTTATATACGTTTTAAAACAATCTATTGATATATGTAACATTTATATTGAGTACAATTTTTTTTTAAAGATTCTTAAAAAATTTCGAGTTCCTCTAAAAATTTATTATATATTTTCCGAGAAATATTACCAGATGTATAATATTTTTAAAATGTGTAGATTTTAGTTTTTGTTTTTTCTATTATACTATTTTTATTATTATAATTTTTTTAACATTTGCATACATATTACGCATGTTATTTGCATTGTAAACACAATTCTAACGCTCCTTCGGGAAAACCTAGTACATATGTTTGTGCAGTCGGTCTTTTTATTAATATTTCAATATATGATGAAAAACAAGCTTCCCATATGCTTGTGTTTCTACAAAGAAAAAAATCTTTTAATAAAATCTCTTTTCAATTTAAAATACTTAAAGTAAAAATTTTCCTCGCGTAGAAATTTCACGAACGCAATATTCTACGAATGCAATAACATGGAGGAATATTTTCCAGATAAAATGGTTTTTCCAAAGTAAATTTTCCTCCTCGTGTACGTTGCAAACAAATGTGCTCGACATACTTTTTCTTTCGCAAAGTACCTGGAACATCATTTCGCTTCGCACTTCGTCAGTCTCCCATTAATCTATTCTCATTTTTTACACGTGTGTTCGTTCGGAAAAAAACCTGCGCGCGATCGCCCGGGCCATATATTTTCCGAACCGGCAAACTTGATTCGGCCATTAGATACATTCAGACAAACAGGATGGACAGACGATTCGAACAGACGGATAGAAAGAGATGAGGCAGACAAATACGGACAGACACTCACCGTATGGCTGGGGCGCGGCACCGTATCTTGGTTCGGCCAAAAGGGGAGCCGGCCTTCCATTTCCTGTCGCGTCGTTTTTGTGTGTGCTCGAGCCTGCAATAGAACGACAGTTCGTCGATGAGACTATAATCATCTACGACGGATACATTGCGTTCCATACAGCCATACATTGCGGCGCGACGAGATAAATGAGCCATCTATATGTTCCTCCTAATCATTTCAATTACAAAATTTGCCAATTTCAATCAATCGATTTTGGCTCATTCATGCACATCACAAACTAAGAAAGATCAGAGAAAGATTAGAAATTTTATGTTAAACATTTTTACAATATTAATTATATATTTAATTTTTTAGAACTTTTGCTTTGGAAGCTGTATTAATTTTGTTGTCTTTCAGGGAGAGAATCGATTCAGAATCACATTTTGAAATACGTATAAAATATATAGTCATATTTAAAGTCGTATTTAACCACGCTATTTTATTAATATGTATATTTATTGTGGCATAGAGTGCATTATTGTTTATACGCAGTCTATGTGATATCACGCAGTTGCCTTGTTGTCATTCGCACGTCGACACTCGAGCAAGAAGGTAGCAGCGTAAGTCGTTCTATATTATCTCTCGAAATATTATCATGACAAGTATTAACGATACGAGATGTCACATGCGACATTCTCGACAAAGAGATTAATTCCAAAGATATATATCTTTTAAAGTAGGAATCGGAGCATTGAAGATGGAAATACTATATTGCGATATTTATGAGCTTTCGCTTTAAATCGATTAATATCCCGTATTATAATGTAAGTGCGAATAAATGTACAAGTTGAAATTAAAGCTATACAAAATATAATATTCTAAAATATGTCCGTTTGCTCTGACTAAATGTGCGAATTAATTTTATTCGAGTATATTCAAGCTTCGAAGAGCGTTTGATAAATAAGTAAATTAATTAAGACAAATTCAATTGCATAAGATGAATTTAATCACGTGATTCTTAATAATTTTCGATTTTATTACAAAAATTCGACGATTATCTTGATGTCATTTACATGTTGGCATTCGAGCAAGAAGGCAGCGGCGTGAATCGTTCCGTCTTATTATATCTCTCGAAATATCGCGACAAAAGTAACAATAAGAGATGTCAAATGCAACACTTTCGACGAAGAGATTAATTTCCAAGATATATTCGAAAGTAGAAATCGAAGCATAAAAAATAAGAGAGGGGAATGAAATGCTAAATTGCTATTTAATTATGATATTCATAGGCGAGAGAAAAGAGACATACGCTTTCTTTTATAACAAAAGAAAACTATTTTAATTCACATATTTATTTATTCGCACTTATGTTATTTCTAACAGAAGTGCAAATAAATATGTGAATTAAAATTGAAATTTTCATGGAACGTATATAATATTTCAAAATGTCTTTTTGTTGACGAATTATGTGATGAATTTTTATCGATCAAATCGTATACAAAATGTGAAATATACGAATCCCGCGATATCTATTATTATTAAATGGTATTATTATCATGCTTTTGCGTTTAAATTATTCCAATCGTATATCCAAAATTTACATACAATTCCGCACTCTTAATCTGAAAATAGTGGGCATATTTATACTAAAATTAACCAAAAATCTCGAAACGTGATGTGAAGTATATTCAACTCCACGTATATTTATAAATAATATTATCATCGTCGGCAAGTATTATAAAATCATCATAAAATAGTAATTTGTAATTTTTATTTCTTATGCTTCGATTCATACTTTATAATATCATGAGAGAAATTTGTTATAATAAATAACATTTTGATTTTTGAGTTCGTCAATCGTGAAAATTAATTAATTCATCCGTTAATTATCAATCGATTAAATGAAAGTAATTAACAAAGCGGCTATTTTTAGATATTCTTACTCGGTGTTCGTTTTTACAGTATATTTATATTGCATCTCTTTTTGCAGGCAAAGAATCTTTTTATCGAGTACGGGATATCGCGTATTCTCAATCGCGGAATTCGGGAGTGCCGTACAAAGTTTCGCGCGTCTGTTTTTAATAAAGTGCCGTGAACAAATCGCTCGTAATCGTCATTAAGTATTTTCGCAATTAAAAGTGCGCGAGTGCAATGAACCTGAAAAAGAGAGACCCCGATGATTTCAGAGGAGGACGAGGCCTAGGAGGCATCGGGTGACAGCGGAGCAACTTTAAGGTAAGCAATTTATGTACTTTTTAATCTTTTATTTCTTACGAAAAATTAATTTTATTATTTCTTACAAAAAAATAATTGTATTTCTTACGAAAAATTATTTTTATTATTTCTTATAAAAAATTAATTGTGTGTGTTTATCTTCATATATAATAATAATTTATATTATATCATTACATAAATATAATACATATTAAATATTTTGGATACTTTACATATTTACAATTTAATATATTTGTAGTTTACAGATCAACGTAGTATTGTTACTACACTGCTCATCGTGTGCTGGTGAGTTTTTCAAATTATTTTGTATTTTAATCTTAAGCTCTCTTTTCTCCAAAAGCTTTATTATTTCTATAACGATTACGTGTAAATAATTCAATTATAAATTAATAATGAAAATATGCAAGATCTATATTTGAAGATAATAATATTAAATAATATATTATAAAATTATAATATATATTATAGTAATTATAAAATAATCTATTTTATAATAATTATAAAATAAAATATAGCTGACATCGAATGCATAAATCAACTGCAGACGCAGTATTAAAATGTCAAATTACACAATACGATAATGATAAAAATTGCGCTTGAAATAATATAATTTAGATTTTAATCAAGCTCTTGATGAGAAAGAGAGAGAGAGGTCGATACGAAGTATCCCAAGTTCTCTGATTGGTAGGAAAGTAGAACAATATATTTTGCATAACCCGTATTTGCTTCTTCACACATATATCGCGTCGTGAAACTATTGGTTTATACTAAACTGCATTACATCCATATATGCAGATACGAGTATATATACATATACATATGTATATCTCGAAGATAAGCGTGAGTTTCCTTTTGGTACACTCATATAGCGTACACCACATGCTGCATGCGAGCACGAGCTTGTTGCTGCAACAAACTATATCATATCATCCCCTATTTCTCTCTGTGCATGTGTATGCGCGTCTTTTCTCGAATATTCGCCGCGTCTTCTCTCTCAAGCGGTTGCAACCTCCAGCGCCCGTCTTTGAAATATGTAGAACGTCCTTCTATTGCTCAAGTCGTATCAGCCACTTGATTGGCGCTTCGCCGAGGAGGAAGCAATCGCTTTAATCCCGCTCGATCCTCGGGATCGAATCCGATACCACTCTGTTGTGGATGTACAGAATTCCGGCAGATTAATTGCTAATTAAGATCGGTACGCTAATACCGCACCGTCACCGCGTAATTGCAGGATATATAATGTTTGAAATTGCGAAGCTGATTCGAAGAGCAAAAATGTGCATTCTTCTTTTTTAAAACAGATGTGAGAGGCAAGTATTTTTTTAAATCACATATCGATATTCGAATTACATTTCCAGGTAGAGAATGCAATATTTGATCGAAAATCACAATCACAAATGTAAAATTGCTGTATCAATTATATCAATAATTTAGAATCGTGAAAGAGCACCTTATTATTTTTGCAAAATTAATAATGCTTATATAGTTGAAAATATGAACGGATAAGAAAATGAAATAAAACTCGCCCCAAGTTTAGCAGCATAAAAGGATTCAATGATTTATAAGATTGCAGAAATGCCAATAATAATTACGATCCTTTTGAACCCGCGACTTAATCATCTAATGTCGGCGAAAACTAGATCGCGGGGCACGAATAGTATTCGCTAATTTTTTCGGACACTTTCAATAATTGCGCGAATTATTCAGACGTCGAGAACGGACAGCATGGCTGGCGCGTGTTTTCCAATAACGGAATAGGAGCAGAAGCACAGCCCTACGACGAACTCGAGAAACAGCACATCTGGTCTAGGCGTCGTCGAGAGAGCCTGGCGAGTCTATGAAACTCGATATTGGCACTTGTAGAAGTCGTACAGGTCCGCGGAAATTGCGATTTCGGATACTGGCGGGACTACGCGTACGGGAGTTTCCGCCAATGTTTGTTTGTCTTGGCCCGGGTTCTCCGGACAGAGGGACACGATTAGCGAATTTACCGTTTGCCGATGGCGAAAATACCTTATTGACAGTTCGAAATTGGAGCAGCTAAGACAGCTCGCCGACGTTTATGATTCTATTTGATTTGTCTAGGATAAAGTACGTTCTATCTTCTATATCTCGGGTGGGGGAAAAAGATCTCGATATTTTCCCGCTAAATTCTGTGTGTCAAATTTTCTTTCTCTCTCTCTCTCTCTCTCTCGCAAATGTCAAACTCGAGCGATGGACATTCGGTCGTAAATTAATAACGCCACTGTAGACGCTCGCTGTCAAGTTAAATCAGGATGACATCGAGAATTTCAATCTCCGAAATAATTTCACCGAGAGAACAGCATTTCATATTGTTCTCCATTATTCTCGTAACCGAAATAAGAGAGACTGTCTATTCGCTTCTTATAAATTATTAATTATTAGTATTATTAAAATAATTTCGCCGTTCACATGAATTATTGTTGAAAAGACAGATAAAAGAATTTCTCTTCTCTAAATCCTACAGAAAGAATTTTCTTTTAGAATTTATCCTGAAAATTATGGTGAGGTAATATGATATTGGAAAAATTATATAAGAGTTTCTCTGATTAATATTATACACCACAATAAAAAATATTAATATATACGTCGATAAGGTATAAAATTAATCAGAAAAACTCTTATCAAAAATTCTTCCAATATCAAATCCTATACGATTACCATGATTTTCGTGGTAAATTCTCTCCGCGTATATCTCTTATTTTATTATTTCATATATTTTATAATATCTGCAACAATTGCAGATATTATAAAATATATGAAATAATAAAAATAATTCCTAAAAACATTGCTTTTTTTAAATAGATATTCGGTTGATATGAAACATCTTTCGTATATAACTTGCGTATGGAACT